TTTTTATATATAAACTTTAACCAAGTTAAAATTATTCTATTGATAGCTTGAGGTTTAGATTTTTCATAAATAGGTATTAAGTCTTACCACATGTTTTTCTGTCACTCTTTGTCTATCACTCCGATAGATTTTCTGATGTTGAGTCACCCTAGGATCCCTGAGACAAACCCTATTTGTCAAGTTTTTTAAAAATACACCACTGGATTTGGTAGCCAACATTTTAAACTGTGAATATATATTCATAACAAACAAAATAAACCTTTTTCTTCATTTTCATCTGATTTTGGAATCAATGCCACATTTGTCAATAATTACATCTGTAAATTCCATTTGTCAATAATTAAGATTGGCGCCTAGCTTTTTGGTTCATATCTGTTTGGTGTATCTTTTTTTTTGGCAACAGGTTTATTCAGATGTACTTCACATAAAATTCATATATTTGAAGTGTACAATTTAATAGTTTTTAATATGCCCAGAATTATGCAACCATAAGCACAATCAATTTTTGAATATTTTCATCATCCCCAAAAGAAATCCTATCAGCAATCAGCCATCAACCCCATTTTCCCCCCACCTCCCAGCCCCAGGCAAATACTGTATATATGATTCTCCTTATAGATTTTTGACTATTCTGAGCATTTGATGTAAATGGAATCATACATATGTAGTCTTTTGTAGCTATCTTTACTTAGTGTTTTCAAGATTCATCAGAGTTGTAGCATTCATTACTACATGAATATTTCTTTCCTTTTCATGGATGAATAATATTCCATCATATGTGTACTTTTATCCATTCGTCAACTGATGGACATTTGAATTTCCCTCTTTTGGTTATTGTGAATACTGTTATGAATATTCATATACAAGTTTTTGTGTGGATTTGTTTTCAATTCTCTTCAGCATAAACCTAGGAGTGAAACTGTTGTATCAAATAGCAACTGTTTGAAGAGTTGCCAGACTGCAGCTATACCATTTTATATTCCTAATAGCAGCGTGTGAAGCTTTCTCTACCCTCTCACCAATACTTTTTTAAAAAAATAGCCATCCTACTGGGTGTGAAATGGTATCTCATTGTGGTTTCAATTTGCATTTCCCTACTGACTAATGATATTAAACATCTTTTTTTGTGTGTTTATTGACCACTTGTATATTTTCTTTGGAGAAATGTCTATTCAGATCCTTTGACCATTGAAAAAATTGGGCGGTCTTATTATTGTCATTACACTTGACACTCTTTTTGGGCCTTTCAACCTCAAGACTGAAGTTCTGGGATAGCCTCTTAAGTTGTGTCATTTTAACAATTTAATTTTTTCCCACTTACAACATAGTCAGCGTTACCTCATATACTAAATATGTTAAAAACATGGCTTTTCATTTTTACATAGTCCTCTATCAAAAGATCAAAATGTATCAAAGATTTTAAGCAGCATGAGGCATTATCAAACCTGTGTTTTTGATGTTCAGTCAAGAAGAGTAGAGAAAATGAACTGGAGTGGATAAAAGTCTATAATCTTGGAGAGAAACGATGAAAGTCTTATCTAAGGCAGTAGTGGTAGGGCGTAAAGCAAAAAAAAGATGACAAGTTCCTACTTCTATTAGGAAGTAGAATGGCACAGGACTTGGTGAGTGATTAAGAGGAAAAGGGAAAGTAGTAAGTTACCCTCAGGTGTATGGTTTGGATAATACCTGGGACTCACTCCAGTATTCTGACCTGGAGAATTCCATGGACTCTATAGTCCATGTGGTCGCAAAGAGTAGGACATGACTGAGAACTTTCATTTTCACCCACCACTGGAGTGGGCAGCCTTTCCCTTCTCCGGGGAATCTTCCTGACCCAGGAATCAAATCCGGGTCTCCTGCATTGCAGGCAGATTCTTTACCAGCTGAGCCACAAGGGAAGCCCAAATAATAGGTAAGTAACTATTAAACATATTAAAAATACATAATTCTTATTTCAAGAAATTCAACCATGCTTGGTATTATCCAAACCATACAGAGTCGGACATGACTGAGAACTTTCATTTTCACCTATTGTTCAGTCTCACTTGAGTTAAGTTAGATCATATCTAAATGTAAGTTACAAATGTTCCATAGAAAAAAAATTTCTCCAGTGCTACAGTCTCATAGATAAGGTACCAAACCTTTAGAAAGATCAACTTTTTAACTAAGATTCTTTGGAGAAATAGTTAAAAGGAAGTATGGAAAAATTAGCAGTAAACAAAAATTCAAGTTTAAAATTACAGATGGAGGAAACACTTTAGAAGAAAATTTTAATCGCAAAATATTGGAATCTTTTAAAAATAAAAAGTCATTCTGCTATTATAAACACTTTAATTTTTGTATATTTATTTTTAGTTTCAAAATGAATTTTGTAAGATATTTTCCTTTTCATCAGTGAAACACCTGTTTAACCAATAATATTAAAAGTATTGATGCAAATTTACTCAATATATTTTTCTCAAAAATGCAAATCACTATTTCTGAAAAAGTTTAATTCTATTTAGAGTATTTATATCTAAGTATAATATCCTGGAGTGTGAAGTCAAGTGGGCCTTAGGAAGCATTACTACAAACAAAGCTAGTGGACGTGATACAATTCCAGCTGAGCTATTTAAAAACCTAAAAGATGATGCTGTTGAAGTGCTGCACTCAATATGTCAGCAAATTTGGAAAGCTCAGCAGTGGCCACCAGACTGGAAAAGGTCAGTTTTCATTCCAATCCCAAAGAAGGACAATGCCAAAGAATGTTCAAACTACAGCTGTGCTCATTTCTCATGCTAGTAAGGTTATGCTCAAATCTTTCAAGCTAGGCCTCAGCAGCATGTGAACCAAAACCTCCCAGATGTACAAGCTGGGTTTAGAAAAGGCAGAGGAATCAGAGATCAAACTGCCAACATTCACTGGATCATAGAAAAAGCAACAGAATTCCAGAAAAGCATAAACTTCTGCTTCATTGACTACACTAAAGTCTTGACTTTGGTACTAAGTCACTTCAGTCGTGCCCGACTCTTTGTGACCCCTGGACTGTAGCCTGCCAGACTCCTCTGTCCATGGGCTTTTCCAGGAAAAGATATTGGAGTGGGTTGCCATTTCCTCCCCCAGGGGATCTTCCCAACCCACAGATCGAACCCACATCTCTTATGTCTCCTGCATTGGCAGGAGGGTTCTTTACTACTAGTGCCACCAGTCTGCTTTTTTTTGACTGTGGGGATCACAACAAATTGTTGAAAATATTTCCCTGGTGGCTCAGACAGTAAAGAATCTGCCCATAATGAGGGAGACCCAGGTTCAATCCCTGGGTCGGGAAGATCCCCTGGAGAAGGGAATGGCACCCACTCCAGTATTCCTGCCTGGAGAGTTCCATGGACAGAGGAGCCTGGTGAGCTATGGTCCCAAGGCGTCTCAAAGAGTTGCACACAACTGAGTGACTCACACACACACTTAAGGAGATGGGAATACCAGACCACCTTACTTGTTTCCTGAGAAATCTGTATGCAGGTCAACAAGCAACAGTAAGAATCCTACATGGAACAAATGATTGGTTCAAAATTGGGGAAGGAGTAAGACAAGGCTGTACATTGTCACACTGCTTACTTAACTTAAATATAGAATAAGTAAGTGTTAGTCGCTCAGTCATGCCTGACTCTTTGCGACCCCATGGATTGCAGCCCACCAGGCTCCTCTGTCCATGAGATTTTCCAGGCAAGGATACTGGAGTGGGTTGCCATTTCCTTCTCCAGGGGATCTTCCTGACCCAGGAATTGAACCTGGGTCTCCTGCATTGCAGACAGATTCTTTACTGACTGAACTGCAAGGGAAGCCCATATATAGAGTACATCATGTGAAATGCCAGGCTGGAGGAAGGAGAGTGAAAAAGCTGGCTTAAAATTCAACATTCAAAAAACTAAGATCATGGCATCCAGCTTCATCACTTCATGGCAAATGGGGCAAAAGTGGAAACAGTGACAGACTTTATTTTCTTGGGCTCCAAAATCACTGCAGATGGTGACTGAAGCCATTAAATTAGAAGACACTTGCTTCTTGGAAGAAAAGCCATGACAAATCTAGACAGCAGAGATATCACTTTGCCAACAAAGGTCTGTATAGTCAAGCTATGGTTTTTTCAGTAGTTATGTACGGATATGACAGTTGGATCATAAAGGAGGTTGAGTGCCAAAGAACTGACGCTTTTGGAGAAGTCTCTTGAGAGTCCCTTGGACTACAAGGAGATCAAACCAGTCAACCCTAAGGAAAATCAACCCTGAATAGTCACTGGAAGGACTGATGCTGAAGTTCCAATACTTTGGCTACCTGATGTAAAGAACCGACTCACTGGAATAGACCCTGATGCTGGAAAGATTGAAGGCAAAAGGAGAAGAGGATGACAAAGGATGAGATGGTTGGATGGTATCACTGACTCAATGAACATGAATTTGAGCAAACCCTGGGAGACAGTGAAGGACAGGGAAGGCTGGCGTGCTGCAGTCCATGGGGTCGCAAAGAGTTGAACATGATTTTGGGACTCAACTACAATGCTAGTGTAATCTACATGTATTAAGCAAGTAGGGGCTTCTCAAATAAAGAAAAAACAGTCTGATTTGGTTTTACAAGTAATAAAGATGACTAAAAAAGTAAAAAATTGAGCTTAAAAAACACAACCCAAACCACCTGTTTTTAAAAGTCACACCAGCCATCTACTTCTAAAAAACCCTTATCAAAGCTATTTCTTCAAACCCAACATTTACTAATTCAACAGATGGGTTTTTTAAATGAGGAATGTAATTTTACTTTCAACTCACTGATTATATACTCAACTGGCAGCTTTAAAAAAATAATTTTAGAATACATGAAGACTTGAATTAGACCATTCTCAGCATTTCTTGTTTGCTAACTGGCTTGTTTTTATTTATATATGAACTTTTAACATGTCTACCACAGGTAGTACACAGAAATAAACATTTGCAACTATAAAACCTATCAAGTAAATGCCCAATGTAACATCATTGCTTTTTCCTTCTCTTATAAGAATCATTACTGTGAACGCGAACGCGCTGGTATACAGAGGATGCTATTTTCATGCTGTCTTTCTTTGTAAATGTCTTCTCTACTGCTCCAGGTTTCCAAAGTAACAACTGTGCGTCTTCTCCTCCAGTTAGCAAAGAATCATCCTGCATATTCCAACAGAAGGACCGGACTGTAGCAGCATGCCCTCCTTGAAGGCTGGTCACATGGACCAACCCTGATGTCATACAGCTCATTATGTGAATAATTCCTGTGTTTGTCCCTCCAACAACAAACAATTTGTCCATCTTTTCATTATATAGGCCACCAATCAAATAGTCCAAATTCCCTTCTTTCACGTTAATTACTTCTCTGACATCTGGAATGTTCAAACATGTAATTGGTTCATCTGTATCCAGATGATTAAGATCCCACCAACAAAATCCCTCATCATGTGTCATGCAGTAAATCTGTTTATAATCTTGCCCAGACCAACCAATAAAGCTTACTGATGAAACCGAGTTACAGGTTGTGACCAGTGCATCGTCTTCATTATCCGCGCTAATATCAAATACATTTACCAGGCCATCAGTTGATCCTGAGACTACCATGTTTGGATTACTGGGATGGAAACATACTTGAGTGATATCATCACTATGTGTCTCTGAATATGCACCAAGTGGCTCTTTGGCAGTAGACAAGTCCTGAGAATTAATTCTTGCATCCCAAAATACCAACAATGCATCATCATCAACTTTTTCTGTACCAGCACAAATGACATGATCATTAGAGCTGATATCAAAACTGATAAAAGTATTGGAAGGGTAACCCTTGAACAGCTGGACAGGTTTTCCACTGGCCAGTCGAGCATCCCAACACTTAACCGTGCCATCCGTGCATGAGGAATACACAGTGTCACGGGAATTCGCAAACTTGACTCCATTAAGTCCAGGATACCCTCTAAATTCTCGTAGTACATTTAACCTTTCTTTGTCATATATTCTGATTGATCCACTAGAACATAAAACAGCAACCAAGCTTCCTTTTTCTGTTTGTACAGTCTTTGACGTGTCTATGCCAAGCAGGTAAGTAGGCTCTTTAGTTTCTGAGCAGCGTTTAACAATGTTCAAGCTGGCAAATTGTTCCCGAATCTTCTCCATATCAGGAGTGCATTCAAGGGGAGTAAAAATCTGTAATAAAAACAAAAATTGAAATTAAACCCAAAGTATCTCTACATTGTAATTAAATCAAGAACATTTCCCTCTGAGACTTGGCACAAGAAAATAGAAATAAAATCTAATATTTTAATCATTCCCCTACCTACCATAATGTATCTAAAACTCAGCTGCTTCCTTCTAATTCAACCACTTTTTTTATACTGAATCTACTGCCAGTAAGAGATTATAAAAATGTGTGTACATGTACATACATTGCATAGTAATTCCTTTCAGCTCAAACCTAGTTATTGGTCCTACTCATGGTCCTCAGCATTAGCCAGGATCTCTACTTTGGGATCATTTTCTCCTGGCTCCAGCTACCTTATACAGCTATAGAATCTAAACACAGATGTGTTGGCAGAAAAACAGTCCCTCACAGATGTTCATGCCTTCATCCCAGGAACCTATGAATATGTTAGGTTACATGGTAAAGACAATTGAGGTCATAAATGGAATTAAGGTTGCTAATCAGTTGACATTAAAATAGATTATTGAGGATTACCTGGGTGGACCCAAAGTAAAAACCAGTGCCCTTAAAAGTAGAAGCAGGCAGAATATGAGAATCAGTGGGAGATGTTCCTGTGGAAGAAAGGTTCAGAGAGATACATTATTGGTTCGGATGAGGGAAACCAACAATTGGGCGGCCTCTAGAGAGTGGAAGAGGCAAGGAAACAGCTACCTTCAGAGCCTCCATGTGAAAGTGCAACTCTGCTAATCTTTGATTTTAGCCCAGTGAGACCCACTTTGAACTCCTGACCTCCAGAGCTAGAAAAAATTTATGTCATTTCAAGCCACCAATTGTGCAGTAATTTGTTACAGCAGTGATAAAAAAAAAAACTAATAAGGGTACCCAGGAGGAATTGCAGAAATGTGCTTCTCAGGCAGGAGCAGCTTGCAAATGGTGGAGCTGGAATTTAAACCCAGGCATTTTGGCTTCAGGAACAGTGATCTTCACCACCACAATAGATTGCTTCTCAATGGTATACAGAACAAGTTCCAGGCCAGAAAAATATGCATAAAGTCTAGCGACTTTATCACAGAAGTTTTTCTATCTTGCTTTCACCAAATGAGTATTCTTGCCAGCCTCACAAATTCACATTTTCATTCTTTCATCTTTGAAATGCTTTTTTTTTTCTGTTGCTTTAGTGATAGCTTTTTAACTGTCTGTGTTTTCATCTTTACAAGGAGGAATGAATATGAACTCAAGAGTGGTTAGAAGGATTAACTGAAATACTGTGTCTGGCATATCATTGTACACATTCAACCAATGTTACATAAAAATGACCAGGATTACCATTACCAATACCACTAACACCACATGGTGGAGAATTTAAATCTATCAGAGTGGCTCGACACAGCACAATTAAACCAACAGACAAAAAACATTAAAAGTTGGCTTGGGGTTCAAAAGAAGAATAAGCATCTTCTCCAACTTTAAATTTTGAATATTTTAAAACTTACAAAAGTTGAAAGACTAGTACAATGAACACCCACACACATACACACAGTCTTTCACCTCCGAGGATCACCAACTTGCTTTCTTCTAGCTCTATAAACACAGACACACACATTTTTGATGAGCTATTTGAAAGTGAACTGTGGACAAAATATCATTTCACTTCTAAATACTTTGGCACAGAGAACCTCCCCAATCTTCTGTTTTCTTAACACTGAATTTTTTGAAAAGTCCGGCCAGTTGTCTCATAAAATGTCCTATATTCTAGATTTTTCTAATTGTCTCCTCTTTGGGATTAGATTCCAGTTTAACATTGTTATCAGGGATACAATTTATGTGATGCTGGGGACTTATTGCATCACATCATAGAGGCTCATAACAACTTTGGTCACTTCCTTAAGTTCTTGGTGCTCAAACTGTCTCTGACCTGACCACTGAGAAACTCTTCAGGCCAGCTTCTGTGTGCTTTTGATATGTCATTATCACAATTAGTCTGTTAAGTCCCTACACAGAACAACTCTGTATAAGAATAAGCTAAGTACAAAAATAGTGAGCTTCCTTTAAGTATTCAGAGACTAAAAGACCGTTTACCTCCACAGTGTAACTGTTGGTTTTATAACCAGATAGGTTAAATGGTCTTCTCTTCTTGAACGCGTCATGCTTCTGTCTCAGAACTGTGGCAGTAGCTGCTTCTCTGTCTGGAATACCATCTGTACATTTTTTTTTGTGAGTAACTCCTGCCTGTTATTAAGGTCTCAATATGTTACCTCCCCAGAGAGAACTTCCCTGATCAACCAACCTAAAGCGGCTGGTCACTCCCAATCATATTGCCTATTTTGTTAAATAAAAAATTAGAAATGCTTTAATTTATGAACTATTTCAAATGTATCAAGAAGTGTAGAAAAAAGGAAACATACTCAAATACTGTATGCATTACCTAGATTTAACAGATGTTAACATTTTGCCAAATTTGCCTCAGTTTTTTATTTAAAGAAATGAAATGATAGATACAACTTCTATGATTAAGAAATTCTAAAAATGGCATCACATTTATATGTATCTTTGCTACAATTTGCTCTTTTTACTCAATATTTTTGAAAAACTTGATTTTACCTGACTTTCTTGCTCTTTTGTTATCAATACGGTTGTTGAATAAATGAATGAATAATTGATTCAGCTTTCATGCATAAAGAGCTGAAGAGCTCCAGGAAAAGCAGAATAAACCTAAAATGATATGTCATATGTCTGTATGTTTGCATGGAGAGCTCTGCTTATGGAAATTAGTAACATAATGGCATTCTTTAGCAGTACTTTAAATAAAACACAAAAAGGAAATATAAAGACTTTATATTTGTGAAAGAAACATTATTTAACATAATTTTTTTTTTTTACTACAAGCTATTCAAATATGTTCTAAAATGTGTGTTCACTTAAGAGTATACTGCCTACACACTTCAAGGAAAAAATCCTTTTTAATTCCAGATAAAAATCAACTACCCATTCCTGAAATAAGCAAAGTGTTAATAAGATTACAAAAGAAACAATTCTTTGCTACTGTTTCATATTGATTTCTGCATATGAAATATCAGATTGATGAGAATTTTAAACAATAAGAAAGTTTAATGTGACTTTTAAGTTAACAGTAAGTTACAGGACTATGGCTGTGCACTGCTCCCCTCAAGCAATATAGCAGTGCTGTACTCCTCCCCCCAACAGTGCTGCCCAGAGAGTCTGCTTCACATTGGAACAGTCCCCTGCAAGGCTTTAATCCAAAGGATTCTGGGATTGATGATGCAGGCAGAGTGGGCCCCAGATGGAATGCTACAGCAAACCAACATTTTAAGACGGCAGTAATGGTAACAATCTCACTGGTGTTCCACCTGACCTACTGTTTAAATGCAGTATAGTGCTTCAAAAAAAGAGAAAGATGTTAGAAGATAGGCAGATCCCACAACGCTCTCATATTATAGAGCTTATATTCATTCATCCACAGATACAAATAGTAAAATATTACTTTAATCTCCTTGGGAAAAGATGAAAACCTCTGACTTACGCTTTAACACACTAATATGCATATGCAAACGAGACACATTTGAAATATAACTTCCAAGGTTACACAATCTTAATTTTACATACTAATGAATCATTGTAAAATGATAAATAAGCCTTTTTACTTCTATGTATGCCCTTATCTGAGTTTTTTTTCTTTTGGCATGATCCTCTTCCCATTCCTCAAGATAAGCCATGGTCTCCCTTTTCTTTTCACTCAGTAAGCTCATTGAAACTCATGTTTTTAAGTGCCACCTACATGCCAATGAGCTTATCTATTTACAAGTCCATATTTCCAAGTGTCAACTAGCCATCTCTCCTTGAATCCCACTACAACTCCAAGTTAAACTGATTATTTATGCTTCCCCTCCATGAAACATTCTCCTTAAAAACAAAACCAAATTATGCTTTTCGATGTTCTCCATGTTGGTTGATGGTACTGGCACCACGACAGCACTCTCATCTACCCAGTTACCTAAGCCAAAATCTCTGGGGAAAATCCAATTCTCCTACTCAGGGCTCTCATCCAATCCCTTTCAAATCTTTTGCTGCAGGCTACTAACTGAAGTATAAGGTTCGATCTATTTCTGGAGATCAAAATAATATTGACAACTGCATATAGTTCAACCTAACAAAAATGTATAAAGGGAACAAATAAGACTAACCATAATTTTAATATTTTCTCTCTTTGTTTCTGTTAGATACATAAAAGGAAGCTAAGTTAGCATTTTAGATCTCAACAGGCCAGTGAGAGCTGAGGACGCCTTTCTTATACTAATGCACACACACAAATGAAAAAGGGCACGAACAGAAAAGAACAGAAAAGAATACTGAAGCAAAGAATAGGGAGGAGAAAAGAAGAGAAATGAAGATAAGCCTAAAGAGGACAAAACAGAAAAGAGAAGGGAATGGAGTTACTGCCACTACCTTCTAAATCACACTGCACTCCAGTACTCCTGGAAAATCCCATGGAGGGAGGATCCTGGTAGGCTGCAGTCCATGGGGTCGCTAAGAGTCGGACACGAATGAGCGACTTCACTTTCACACATTAGAGAAGGAAATGGCAACCCACTCCAGTGTTCTTGCCTGGAGAATCCCAGGGACGGGGGAGCCTGGTGGGCTGCCGTCTATGGGATCACACAGAGTCGGACACAACTGAAGTGACTTGGCAGCAGCAGCAGTAGTGTGTCTTTCCTTTTTATTGCTAAATAATATTTCTTTATAAGAACAAATGCATTTTGTTTATCCTTTAATCAATTGAGGGTCATTTCTTTTGTTTCCATTTACTATCGATTATGAATAGTCATTTGCATGCAACTTTTTGTGTCACTATTTTTCTTTCATTTCTCTTGGGTAGATACCTACAAGTGTTATTGCTGAGTCACATGGAAATTCTGCATTTAATATTTTGAGGACCTGCCAAATTATTTCCCAGAGT